TTTTGCGAAAGATAGACTTGGTCCTTTAATTCAAGTTCCTGGTAGAATTACAGGTTCTGTATATATTGATATGTTAACAAATACTTTTTTACCATTTTATAACAGTTTTGAAAATAATTTACAATATATTTTCAAGATGATAATGCTCCAGTTCATAAAGCAAGTGCAGTTAATCAATGGAAGAGAATAATTTGGTATTAAGTCTTCCGTGGCATGCAAAGCCCGGATCTTAATCCAATTGAACTTCTATGGGATGTTTTGGAAAGAAAAGTTCGGGTACACAAGCCTCATCCAAAAAATATTAGGGAATTAATAATAGTTTTAGAAGAGGAATGGAATCAAATAGAACCTGAAATTTTAGTAAATTTAGTTGAAAGTATGCCACGAAAGTTCAAGCTGTAATAGATAGGTCATGGCAATCCAACTAGACACTAATAATATAAATATAAAGTATGAGTTTTCTGAATTAAGTAATAAAACGTCCGAAATCGGCTATAATTTGGTAAATGATCGGCAAGAGATCCTTAGAAAATATTGATATTTAAATTCGTTAAACTATGTAATATTAATATAAAGTTTTAGTAGAGTAACAAATGAAATAACAGATATATATTTTTTATATTATAATAAACTGTTACCTTTGAAGTAAGGACAATGTAATGTGAAAAGCGTGATTAATAAATATGTGGCAAATAGGATTTTATCCTATCCCCAGAATACTTATGAAACATATCGACAATCAGATGATTATGCCGATAGATTTAAATATTTTAATTACGATATACGATTTTTTTCTTTTTGTTAGAATCATTTAACAATTTATTACATAATATACAATCTTTATTCACTAAAGTACCAAAAGCATCAAATTATCTGTAAAATGCTTGTAATTCTATACACGGACTTTGTAATATTTTAAAGCTAAAAAGTATTTAACTTATATTAGTAACTACTGTTATTTTTGCGAAATTGTTAGTTTACCCTAACTTTAAAGTTAGATGGGTTTGAAGTTGGTGATTATTATTAAATTTGAGTTAAAGTATCTTTGATCTTCTGACTAACGATCATATAGTACAGTTTTTGATTTATTAATTAGATAAAAGCATATAGTAGGATGCGCGGAAATGAAAATATTTTTTCCATCGATCAATTTTTTATCATGTAATGTGCGAATTCATTTAAGGACGGACATTTAGAATGCCAATCGGCATTTGACTTCCCTTTTAACTTAACCTATTAAGGTTAAATTTTAATTGGTGATTCGTAAAAATTTTAATTTGATTTCATCTTACATAATGCTCGATCCTAAATTTTCCTTTAAGATTTTCAACTCGCAATTTGGGTTATTTTAAAAATTATTTTTCGGGAATATATATAAAATAAGGATCTAACATTTCGGAATTCTCGTTATATGTATTATTTTCATTTCCTTTAACCATCAAAACCATTCCATAAGATTTCGTCGTTTAAATATGGTCCGCCTTTTAAACAATTTCACTCGTTTATGTAAAACAATAGAAGGAGAAGAAATTTGTTCATGTGATTATCGTATAAACTTATATGGTTGTCCACATAGTGAATTTTATATTTTAGGTGGAAAGATACTGATACCAATATGTATACTGGTAACAATAATGTCTGGAGGATTTTTATTTTACCTTATTAAAGTTAAGAAGCAACCGTTCTTCTTGATTGCCACCAAAGATAGAGGATGGTTGAGGCCTAAACCTTTACATACTTATCACTTGATTGTGTTTACTTATATGTTTTGTAAGTATACTTTGATGGCAGGATATTTATTTTCACCTTGGAATAAAAATCTAATATGCGATTAAATTGAAATTTTAGTCGAAGGACTTCATTTGATATTTTTGGTAAATGAATTATATCCTAATTTGATAGCGGCTGAAGGTGAGTAAAAATCTTTTTTTTTTTTTTTTCCTTTGAAGTTCGTGTAACATGTGTTTAAAGAAAATAATTCAACCTTTTCACCATAGTTGGCAATATTATGGCAGATTCCATTTCAGCAGCCTCGGCCGCATTTTATCCCGTTAGTATAGGTAATTTTTTGTTTTACAATTAAATTTTATCATTCAAATAATTTATTAATATTAAAACTTGTTTTATAGTTTATTCTACACCAAACATACAACTTGATAAACAACATGAAAATTCGTACTTCAGAAATTTTAATTATGTTGGACCAAACGCACGTTTAGTTGACATTGTTGGAATTATATTATTTTTTGTACCATTATTCACGTTATTACCTTTTGCTTCACTAGCAGGATATTATGCTGAAATGAATGATGTTAAAATGGAAAATGTTTTTTATACTGCACATTACTTTGCTTGGGTAGCTTGGGAAATTATATATATTACAGTATTAACATTTTACTGGTACAGGTTAACATTTATAATCAAAGATCATATTAAAGTATTATTATTAGAAAAAGATAATAGCAATCAGGTCAAAAAGTTCAAACGAGGCACCAGAAATGTAAGTTTATACATAAAATATTTCATAAAATTATTTCTTTTTTTAAAATAAAATAAATAAATGATTCTTTTATTTAGTTAACTATACCGGTTTTAGCGATAGTTTTTGGATTATTGCTTCAGGCGATTATATATGTCGTTATGAGTTTAACGCATCGTAGCAATACAGTTTATTATTTTGGATGGAATTTATTTTATTATTGGATCGGATATGTTACTTTCCCATTACTGGGGTTCGGCATTGAATGTTCCTTGCTTTACTAGTATGTATTCATATAAATAAAATTATCCTTATTTTTTTTTTGTTAACTAATTTGATTTTCTTTAAAAAAAAAAAAAAAAAAAATAGTACAATAACGAACTTAAAAAAGAAAGAAACGACAGGCTCTGTTGGGTTTTCGTCACCATCTTCCTCACAAGGTCAATTAAACACGATAACAACTGTCAACATGGAAAGTCAAAAAGATAGTAAAACTTTATGTTGTTTACCAATTAAGAACTTTGGTATTACAACAAATAAACCTACCATAACAGTTATTCATTGCAGTTCTGAAACTATTACTATCGTCGAAAATAATAATGAACAAAGTAATACCTTAAATTGAAAAAATTGTTTTTTTGTTGACAAATTCAACATTATCAAAATATTGTAGCATTTTTTTTTTTTTTTATCCCCCATCATTATTTTTGACGTCAGAGAGAAAAATTAAATTAATGTAATTAGAGGTTGAAACTATATCCGGTTCCTTCGGTCCAACCGAATTTATTCATTTGATCTAACCGGATTGTAAGAATATGTTTTTATTGGTTCCAGCAAGGTTTTGTTCATAAAAGGTAAAAATAGTTTCAATATGCATACAGCATCATCCAAATAAATTCGAGAAATTTGTATCAACTTTGAAAAAAAAAAATTTAAAGTTCGGTCGATTAAATTCACAATATACTTAAAATGGTTTCTTTTTATTTTTATTTTTTAAATCCAAATGATCAAATGATAACCATGCATTAATTATACAAAGTTTCAGATCAGTATTTTTATTTTCTAGCTTCGATCGGATTGAGCCAATTTTGCATAAGCGTTTAAATTATTGCATTTGCCCTATCATAACACTGTAAATCTGAATAGGTTTATAATCAACCATTTTATATAAAATTATAAATTCATTATACATAAATATTTCGCTGAAATTTCGGCTACATGGTCCGAAGAAGTAGAACTTTGAAGAGGAAAAGTCTCAAAATTATATCTCGTCTGATTCATCCGAAAGAATATTATTTTGAATGCCATCAGCTATTACTTGAGTAATATTCTCGGTTCCTTTTTCCTTGTGTGGTTTATATCTTTTTCATTTTGATTTAAATACTTTTTCACAGTTTTGGATTCAGACATGTCAGTATCATTGTTTCGCAATAATTTTTCGGACGAAATTATCAGAAATTGGACGTTTCTGCATGTTTGATACTTCGGTGGAGTTGAGTTGCTAAGTAATCCTTGAAGTTTCTTTTACCTGACCCTCTTTATCATCATATCACTAACCTCTTTCTTAGTCACAGAAAAATAGAAAATGCAAATTAAATTATCGACCTTGATGCCATTTTAGAAATATCAATGTAAATAACTTGCCTTCTACCAATAAACCGCAAATGGTCAAATTTCTATCTCCGACTCCATCATCGATACATTTATCCAAAATATCTTTCATCTCGTTGCCCAATTTAACGAGATCACAGTCTTCCAAAGAATTTTTATTTTTATTTGATAAAATATAACCGGCGGACTTTACTTCCGAAATAAGCAGGTAGAATTTATTACCTCTAATAGGTATATATATGGAAAAATCAGCTTTTCTTCCTTGCAGTGAAGGGTCAAATTTACGTTTTCGATGTACAGATGCCTCCAAAACATCGGTTGACCTGAAAATAACACAATAACATTTTAATAAATCATTATTATTACAATATAAGATAAAGAAAGAGTCACGCTTAAAAATTACCATTCGCGTTTAAAATTGATATTTTTGAAAAAAGTTCTAATTACGGGTTCAAAAACTTCATGCACAAAAGTATCTTCTTTTAAACCTTCCCGATATATTTTTGGTTTAAAGTTATTAATGCTATTATATAATATACCAGTGGTGTGCAAAAAAAAATGACAATTTTTTTAAAAAAAGATCGACAAGTGTAACTAGCCCAATTTTGGTC